CCAGGCGCAGACAGGCAGCTAGGATCCCAGGTCCCAGGTGGGGCAGCCCGCCAGCCAGAGGCAGGGCCACTGCGGGGCCCAGAAGCACAGCTCTGCAGGTGGGCCTGCTGAGGGCGCTGTGTGTCCTGACCTCCCCACTGGTTTCAGGGGTCGCATTCTTGCCACACTTGCATCCCAGCAGCCACTGCAGGAGGAAAGGAGTGTGTTCAAACCACGGGGCCCAGGCTGTGCTGCTCTGGGGTCCCCGGTGAGTGGGCATCAGGTGGGGCACCTGCTCTAGCCCAGTCTCGATCATCCACACAAGGCAACGGAGCCGGCGAGCTCACGTGGGCCAGGCCCAGGGCGCCACTTGGTTCGTCCGCCCTGAGCACCTCCACAGCAGTCAGGGCTGACAGGACGGGACGGGACTTCCCGAAAAGCAGCCCAGGCACATGACGGGTGGGGAGAGGAGGTGTGGAGTCTGCAGAGACAGAGAGAGACACACTGTACTTTCCTGAGGTTGTTCAAAGACCCCCACGGCCCCAGGGCACAGGCAAGGCCCAACCTGTCCCCTGACCGCCCACGGGCCCCAGCTCTGGAAGGCTGCCTGAACCCCGACCGCAGGCCCTGTGCTGGGTGCTGAGCCCGGCCGCCCACCCCTCCCCTCTGCCACCCCACCCCCCACCCCAGGCCCTGTGTTCCTGGGGCCCAGGCTGTCCCCGTGGGCGGGGAATTCGCTCCCCCTCTCCCCCAGTCGCTGGGCTCTGGTTGGCAGGGACTGGTCTCTCCCCTGCAGCTGTCACCTGTCACCCTGTCAGGGCCCCTCTCCTCAGCTCCAGCCCAGCTGGTCTGGGACAGGTCTCTGTAAGTCTGTTCACAGCTCTGTCCACAAGGCCTCCATGTCCAGTCGAACGTCCATCTGCCCCTGCTTTGGTGGGCTGTGACAGCTGGGCTCCACCCTGCCCCATGCAGCCTCTGGACTGCGCTGCCCGAAAACGTGGGTGGTGGCGGTCAGTCAGGTGCCCAGCCCTGGCCCAGCCCCCAAAGCCACAGGGGCTTCTTGACCTGGAAGAGTGGTGTGTGTGTGTGTACACGTGTGTGCACGTATGAGCTCTGTGCACATGTGTGTGCATGAGTGCACAGTCCTGATGCAGGCAGGGGACATGCTGGGGGAGGTGGCGCCCGGAGGTCTGGTGGGTGGGACCTCGCTGACGCCTCGTCCCCGCTTAGCTGCTCCCTGGGTGGGGAGCGGTCCAAGAGGGAGAAGCCGTGAGAAGCCGGCCTGCTCTGCCCGAGGCTGCAGCTGTTTCATGTGCTTCCAACTCGTTTTGTGTGTTATCCAGGATTTCAAAGCACCATCAGCAAGACAATCCTCAGTCGCTGCTTTGCCCCCGAGTCGCTGCCAACGTCAGGTCCTCTGCCAGACAGGTAAGCCCGCACGCGCACGCACAACTTGAAAGGAACTTGTCACTCCCTGGAGCAAACAGGAGCCAGGGGACAGGCGGGCACACGAGGTCTGTGCCATCAGCAAACACACACACGCGGGCTGTGTGCCGTGGGGCCCCGAAGGGCTCATGCTCTGGTCTTGCACCCCAAGGCCACCTCACTGTCCCAAGCAACCTCCTCTCCCCCACCGCCCTGGCAGCGCCCTGGCAGCACCCTGGGAGCACCCAGGTCTGTGGCCCCCACTCAACAGGGCCCACCGGCCTCGCCCCAGGTGGTCCCAAGCCCTGGGCACACTCCCTCACTGTCGAGCTGAGCAGCACCTGCCCCAAGGCCCTTGTGGGAGCCAGCTCAATGCAGGGGCTCCCACAGGGGACGCCAGCCTGCCAAGCGCAGGTCAGTGGTGGCAGCTCCAGTCTCCCGCAGGTCCTGCCCCGCCCCATCTGCCCCGTCCTCAGCACACCAGCTCACAGCCCACCCTTCCAGGCACCCCGTGCCCCCCCCCAGCCTCCGCCCTGCCGCCTCGGCCTGGCCCAGTGGGGCAGTGGACCTGCTGGCTCTGCTCTGCACTCCAAGAAGAAGGACCCCACCCAGAGTCCTCGGGGCCCCGGGGGAGGGAAGTGCTGAAGCCACCACCCGGGAACGGCAGACAGGCACCCATTTTGGAGCCAGTACAGGGTTCCAGGACACACACATCCTCGGCGGGGCCGGCAGAACTAGCTGGCCTGGGGGCTGCACCAGGACGTTGGCTCTGAGGGGTCCCTCAGTGCCAGTCCCTGCCTCCCGTGTCACATGACGACGACAGAGCAGCACTCCCCCCCACCTCCCGCCCCTGCTCTGGGAAATTGACACATCCTATATTCTGTGTATTTTAGACACCAGTTCCTTTTGCTACTACTGTCCTAGCTTCACGTGACATGATAAATTTAGTCAAAGAAGGAGTGAGGACACTCCTGATATGTCTGTGTCCTTGGAACGGTGAGACAGCTCACAACGGCGGCTGCCAGACATACTTTCCTCTGCCAAGTGCACTGTTGACCCTGGCCTCCTGCAGCCCACGAGGGCGGGGGGCACTGTGATCCCCTCATTCAGAGGAGGAAACCCAGGGAGAGGCGGTAGGAATGACCAGGTCACCAGGCTGGTGAGGGCAGCTGGAACAGGGACCCACCCTCGGAGGAAAGGAGCAGGAGCCGAAGGGCGAGGAAGTGGCCAGGCCTGGGGGCAGAGCACACCTTCCTGAGTGCTGACAGCAGAGCGGACAGTGGCGCTCTCGAGAAACCCAGGGGGAGCTAGGACCAGCCCTAGGGGTGGGCTGGTGACAGGGACCAAGGTTAGCGTGTCGCCCGGGGCCAGCAGCAAGAGCTGAGCTGCACTGCCCGAGAGGTCAGGTGAACGTGGCCTGGGCTGCACGAGTGGCTGTGCCTGGTGTCCCTGACTTCTCCCCACGCCTGTCCTGTGCTGGCTGTGCACTTACCTTCTCACTGCCCTGTCACGGCGGAGTCTGGCCAATCACCGAACCTGGGATGGTCTCGGGGGCCCAATGCGACATCCGACACCCGCTAGAGGTCTGACATTAATCCTAAGACAGAAAGCCCCTCCACAGGAGGCAGGATGCGCACCGGGGGGCGCACAGCAGATGGAAGGCAGAGCCCGGTCCCAGGTCTGGAGAGGAGAGCCAGCCCCGGCTCTGCGGAAGCCTGGGGCCCATGTCGGACCGCAGGGGACAAGAGGCTGTGACAGCCACCAACCAGCACCGCTGGCTGGTGACACCGCCATCGGTGCCTCTTCACTTACTCCCACGTTACGGCGCTCCAGAGGCAGGCGCAGCGGTGACCGGCCCCAAGGCCACAGGAGAGCCCACGGGAGTGACCTCAGCTTCCTGCTCACAGACAGAGGCCAGCGAACACAGACACCTCCTCCGCCCCAGGTCCCACTCCTGACGGCTGCCACGGATCCCGACGAGGAACCCCGAGGCTTCCAGGAGACACGGAGAATGGAGGGAAGGGAAGTACGTGAAACGCTCACACGAGTCTTCAGAATCGCAGGGTCCTGGTGCCCTGTGCACTGCCCGGGGGAGGGCAGCTCCACTGCAGGGCCTCTGGCGTGTTTCGTTCCAGTGTGGGCAACCTGGTCTTGGTCTCCCTACGGCTGTATAAAAATGTGACAAAGAGGGGCGGCCGGGTGGCTCAGTTTGTTAGAGCACGAGCTCTGAGCAACAGGGTTGCCGGTTCAATTCCCACATGGGCCAGTGAGCTGCGCCCTCCGCAACTTGATTGAAGACGACTGGAGCTGAGCAGCCAGTGGGCGGCCGGACAACTCCGCTGGTTAGAGCATGTGCTCTTAACAACAAGGTTGCCGGTTCAGCTCCCACCTGGGATGAAAACGGCGACTGGACTTGGAGCTGAGCTGTGCCCTCCACAACTAAGACAGAAGGACAACAACTTGACTTGAAGCTGATGGGTCCCAGAAACAAACACACTGTTCCCCCAAAAAACCACATTGTTCCCCAATAAAGTTTTTTTTTAAATGTGACAAAGAAAACTACAGTGCCGGATGGGGGAAAATATATAACTTTATTTTTAACCATGGGATTCTCTTTTTTTCCATTTAATAAATACAAATGAATAAAAAAACTTTGTTTTGCAAAGAGACTTCCCCTCTCCCTTCTCCAGATTTCCCAGAAGTCCCGTGGCCACCTGCTCATGTGGCTGCAACGCCCACAACACCCCACACGTTTCCTCTGTGGAGAGGGCTCTGCTTCCTGCAGAGGCGCCTGCAAATACTACTTAGGGGCAGTGCCTCCTTCCCCTTGTCTTCCAAATGCAAGCCCTGCACTGAGCCCCAAAGCCTGAACAACGCCCTTCTGAGCAGGACAGACCCTGGTGTCCACAGAGGCCCGATGCACAGCCCTTCACCCAGGACCAGTCGACCCAGGGTGTTCAGTGTGCGCTCGCAGGAAAGCAGATGCCGTCCCCTGGACATACCATGTAAGGGAAGGAAAGAACAGGAAAACCTACTGTATGTCTTGTAGACCGTCCCATGTTTCAAAAATAGAAATTCCTATTTAAATGTAACCTGTCTGAAACAGGCCAGGTGTGTGATTCTGCGTGCAACAGATGTGTTATTGCTCGTAGTGGAGCCCGGGTGTGTGCTGCCAAGCCGCCCACATAGCAGAAGGCCCAGACCACGGGATAACCACCAGCCATGGCGCGCTGGGCCCACCGTGACCAGCCCGCTGCCACACTTCCGCGAGCGCCGGTTAAGTTCAGGGTAAGGCACGCTCTGAGCTCTGCGCTGACGGTGGGCTCCTTTCCAACTCCAAGGTGCGAAGAACAGCTTCGTCAGGATAGTTAGAGTTCCTGCTGCGACCACAATGTACAAAAACCTAGTGCTCCACTGGGAGTCTGAGGAAGGCCAACTCTTGTGCGTCCAGCAGAAACTTCGACTAAAGCTTTCCTTCTCGTGTTCCCGCACTAGTAACTAAGACACAAATTAATCTTTGACAAATGAGCTGGAAATACGTTGGTCTTTATGAGCAGTAAACGTCTTCTCTATGTACCCCATTTTTCATCAATCCATATTTTTAAAATGTATTTATTTCCTGAAAGCAGTTCTAAGTGTGACAGTTTGTAATACACAACAAATGGAAAAGACGTAACTAGGCTGTAAGGAAAACATCTGCTTGTAAAGTATGAAGTAGTGGACCAAAGTTACGTCCTCGGGGGGCACCGGGACCAGAGGGATCCCCTAAGATGGCCCGCCCTCTGCCTGGGCTCCCGGCCCTGCATCTTCCGAAGGAGCATTACTGGTTCTAGTCCCTGGGGAGGCTGGGGAGCCCCTAAGTGTGGGGTGCACGGGCGCTGCAGCTGGGAGAGGTAGTGGTGACAGCTCTGACAGTCCACCTGGCCGCTGCGCCCAGCTGACATTACCTACATCAATCACAATTTCAGAAGAGAAGCCTGTCAGGGTGGGAACGGTGGGAAGAAGACCGATGCGCGGTTCTGCAAGCTTGCCTTTTTGGTACCAGCACAGTGTCACTGTCACCAAGTGTCGCAGGGAGGAACACTGGACACGCATGGTGCTGTGTGGGCACGCACGCATGGGCGAGGCCTCAGAGCCCCAGAGACTTCTGCACGATCTGCTTGGCAATCTTGTAAAACTGCTCCCGGTCATCTCGCCACATCTTGGAAGCGTCCACATTGGCTCCACTTTCGTCATTGGGCTCTGAAAGAGAAGGCAGATATTGTCCACTTGAAAGGGACTGAGTAAGGGCTGAACTGGCAAGATCTTCATCTCATGTAGGAACGCCGGTGGGTCTTTCCAGAGATGCATCCCAGAAACAAGAGGTGCTGACGACTGAAACACTGGGGGAGGAAGTCCATCCTTTAAGAAACAAACGACAGCCTTCTCACCTGAGAAGCAGCGTGAGGTCAGTGGGCAAGGTCCACTTTCATGACCCCACCTCCCGAGTGTGAATGCCCACATGCGTCATCTTGCTCTGGCACGCTAGGACAACCCTGGGGAGCGAGCCAGACCCCCAGCCACCCGCTTAGTCCCCTCTGGGGCCTCTGTGCACACCGCCTCGTCTCCCTGAGCCCTGGTCAGTACAGCTCCCCTCCCAGCGACTCCCAGAGAACATGGCCAGGCACACATGGCCCCGCATGAACACCTGAGCCCAGGCTAGCTAGTCCATGGGCCAGCTGGGACCCGCAGAGGCTCTAGGAGGGGTCAGGAGACACACAGGGGCAGGGGTTGCCGGGAAGGGGGGTGGAGAACCGGCAGTTACAGAGGTGCATGTGGTAACCACCACGCAAGTGGTCAGAACGCCAAGAAGGGACTAGACTAGAGCAGAGAAGGTTGCAGCGAGGCTGACAGGCAGCATGCTGGCCCGAGCCCTGCGCGGCCCCAGGCCACCCCACCTACCCCAGTGTGCTTCCCTGCCACAGCGTCTGTCCCTCCGACCAATATGACCCCCTTTCTAGTTACTCTACAAACCTTCCTCACTGGGCCCTCCATGCGAGGCCTCGTGCTGGACCCTGGCTATGCAGCGGACTCAGTGACCTGGGCCCTCAGGGGCACCACCTGCTGGGCCCACAGACAGACCATGGACACCCCCAACGACCTCGCTTCAAACTCAATGCTACAAAGGGTAGAAAGGGCCCGCAGGGAGAAGAATGACCAGGGGTTTCGCAGGCCTCTAGGAGGACGTGGCACTTAGGGGACCCCTGACAGGAACCCCAGTGCCTGAGGGGCCTCCCAGAGCAGCACCAGGGCGGTGATGGTGCTGGAAAGCAACTCAGAGCGGGGCACATGTACCTCGGGTGTGAATACATTAAAACCTTGAAAAAGAATGCACAACCGAAGTGTTCATACAGGTGGAGTTTACAGCTGAGGGCGCAGACAGCCACGGCACGCCTCTCTGCCGTCTCCCAGCACGTCGCGGGTTCCGTCCGCTCAGCGTGAGAAGGGACAGCACGTGTCTCCACCTTCAAACACGTGCACGCACTGACACCCTTGACGTCACGCTCCTTCCTCCTGGACGTGACCGAAACCTAAGCGGTCAGCTGAGGACCTCACGGCCCAGACCCAGAGGCCAGCCTCCTGGGGCCTCCCACAGCACCAGCAACCCTCTCCTTCCCACACGCCTCCATTCCTTCAGGGGTTTCTAGACCACACCCCCTATGCTCCCGAGGACCTCTCCTACCAGTGCCCTTTCTCCATTATCCCTGTCCTGCCGTCACCTGCTGTCCTTCCCACCGATGACCTCACTTCCATGACACGCCCTCAGCTGAGCAGCTACCTGACAGGCCCGCGAGTGTGGACACTCACTGCCCGCTCTCCCCTCCCCAAGCACAGAGTCCGTCTGCTCAGGCACTCAGGTCAGACACAGGGGCGGGTGTCACCGCACCCCAGAGAGCCTGAGGGCTACAGCCTGTGTCTTCCGGGACCCGGGCCGTCCCTGCTGCAGGAAGGATCTTCCTAAGGCTCAGCTCGCATCATCTGACACCCCGTGAGGGCCGGATCCAGTCAGAAGAGGTCCTGGCAGTGCCCCCAGCAGAGTCAGCCACCTTTCTCTCCCCTGCCTCATAAGTCCTAGTGTCCTAAACTCATCCCAGACAGTCCCAGCTCGGGAACTGGCCTGAGAGCCCCCAAGTATATTGTGACCACAGGATTTATCAGAGTGGCCTGCAACGGGCCCTTAGGAAGTGGGGTCTCAACACTGGGGTCTCTGTTGCACTGGGCTTTACACCCCCAGCATGCAGTGCCTGCGATACAGTAGGTCCCCCGATACATGCCTATGGAACGAAGGAAGTGCCCACAGATCAGAGCATGGCAACTGGTTGTCAACAACGTGACACATACAAGAGACCATCTTTAAAAATCACAATCGTGAGGAGCATGGTTGCGCTGGAAAAGTGAGTACCATGAACATGACATGAAAAGGCACACGCACAGGCTCATCACACGAGTCTGAGCGAGGAGGCGCAGCCAGCACGCGCCTGGTCTCCGCGGGGGCGGGCCTGGGGCGGCCGCTGCGCTCCTGCCGGCACGCTCACCTGCCAGCATGCTCACCACCGACAGGAGGATCTTCTCCACGCTCTGCACGGGGCTCCACCGCTCGGCGCTGCTCTCGTAGCCCATGGGGTCGTCGCCCGGCGCATGGAGGATGGAGATGCACACTCGGCCGTCCGGGTAGACTGCAGGGGTCGGAACAGAGTGCGCAAGCTCAGGGCCCAGAGCCGGGGCAGCAGTGCCATCTGCACAGGGGAACATCGGCTCCCGGCCACATGCTCACGTCCAGTCACGTCCACATGCTCAGGCCACACACTCCAGGCGGCCTCACTCCCTGACAGGCTCTGGGCTGGTCCATCTAGTTCTAGTCATCAAGAGACAATTCCACCTTCACATGTTTTTTTTTTAATATTATATCCAAAAGAAGTAAAATCTGACACTCAAATATTTCACCAAAACATCTCGTATAATTAGGATTATTCGCGATACTTTTCAGAGCTGGCTTCTTAGATATTCCTAATTCTACCCCTGAACTGAAATGGACTCTGAAATATACGAGGCTGACAAGTTCAGGAACCAGTTGTGACGATGTTGCTGACCTTTTTTTGACATCAGAGGGGTTGTTCATTATGAATTTGTACCAACTGGACAACCAGTGAACCAAGTTTACTACTTGGAAGTGCTGAAAAGGCTGCATTAAAAGTTAGATGACCTGAACTTTTCACCAATTCATGGCTACTTGCATCACGACAATGCACCAGCTCACACGGCACTGTCTGTGAAGGAGTTTTTAGCCAGGAAACAAATAACTGTATTGGAACACCCTCCCTACTCACCTGATCTGGCCCCCAATGTCTTCTTTCTTTACCCGAAGGTAAGAGAAATATTAAAAGGAAGACATTTTGGGCCGGCCGAGTGGCGCGATGGTTAAGAACTCGCTTGGGATGCCAGAAGGCCCCGGTTCGGATCCCACATATGAGGGCCAGTGACACTGCCCTCCACAGCTAAGATGCTGAACAACAGCTCAACCTGGAGCTGGGCTGCTGTGAG